TCCAAAATATACTCTCCACGTGCGCTGAAAATGACACAAATAATAAATGAATCAATTAACGTCTCGGCCAACTTGTGTGGATAATGGATGATGCTGTGTTTCGAAAAAGAGTGACTGTTCGTATTACGATGACATTGTACTCACTTTGGATCGAGGGATGGTCCACCCATGAACACGTTCCCGGCGCGAAAGCCCGTGGGATTCAGGATGGATTCAGCGTAATACTCGTAAGACCTCGCGTGCGCACATGTGAGTGCTGTGAATTAATTAGCGCGTTAATTAATGAGTAAGCGATGTTGATTTCGATATTCGATAAGCGAGCTTATTTACCAATTATACCGCATCCCGGCTGGCTTTTGCCACCGTTCGGATAAAAGTCTGCATTACCAATCGGTTCTTCCAAACCCAGAATACTCGTGTGAATCACTTGCACCCGAGCTGCATCTGATCGATCTACTCTTTCTCCCGGTCCTTTCGAATCGAACAAGGGTTTTGCGGGATCTAAAGCTGCAAATTAAATTCTATTTTATCATTTCTCGAATCGAGAGATTTTTGACAGGAATTAATAGAGAAAGCCAATATTTTAAAAAGCTTTTTTGTTTCGTTTTTATTTATTGCTATGTTAGTCTCATTTATTTTGTTTTTCACACAGTTTTTTCGAGAAAATTAATGTTTCTTTTTTTTTTTAAAGTTTTGAAAAATCTTAATTACAATATTTATTTTTAAACTTTTTTTTGTCAATGATATTTATTGAACAATAATAAGATTGGAAATAAGACCATTTATGTTAGATACATTACTTTAATACGAAGGGCCACTACGGTCTGAATGTTAAGATGTTGAACTATTATATATATATTTATTGAAATGAATTAATTCAGAAATTATAATTGCGTGCGTCCGATATGATTGTCGGACTTTCAACGCAATCAATCTGAAATATTAATAATCCCCCAAATTTTCCAAATTTAATCTTAAAAAACTATTTATTTAACTTACCTACCGCCTCAGCAATATCGCCATTTGCATTACGAGCAGCGATACCGACGACATGCCCTCCCAGAGAATGCCCTATCACTTTGGTCTTGGAAGGATCCAAACCAGCTTGGCTTTGTAGAAAATCTATCAATTGTGTCACGCGTTCCGCCACTAATGGCACACTCCTCGCGACTTTCCAGTACCATAGATATCCGGCTGCCTTGCTCCAGTCGATCAGAATGACGTTATAATGGCCAATGCTAAGATAAGCTGATAACACAAAGGATAACACAAAGAGGAAATATTAATAACCTAGAAAATAGTTGCCAAAACACGGAGCACTAGAACGACGCGTGGAATCTGGGAGTTGAGAAATTCAAATTATGTTTGAGAATTTAAGGAATCCAGAAGGATCAGATAATAGAAAGTAACAAGAGGAGAGAGAAACAAGGATTTTGTATTAAGAAATCAGGAAACCAGGGAAAATTAAATTTAAAGAATTTACAGTGATTAATAATTTAGAAATTTAAAGCTGAAGTAAAGGGATAGAAAATCATATTAATTTGTAACTAGAACATATGGATTTTTATTGTTGTGGGAATAATTTAAAAATTTATTTACAGTTTTCTGAAAAAATATTCAACGCGTGTTTATATCTAACAAAATTTAGAAGCAATAAACTTATCAATAATATTTTATTTTTGTTTTTTTTTAACAATTTTATATATCATATATTAAAAATGTATAATTGAACTTGAAAAATTCTCGAAGAAAATAAAACTAATAATAAACAATTTTAATTTTTTTTAAACTAAAATTTTTTTATTATTACTTTTATTTTCTCCTAGGACCCATAGATTTCTTTAGGATCACAAAAATACTTCTCTTACGGATTGATCTTCGAAATAACAAGAATTCAGGTATTTAAGCTATTAAGATTGATAGTATCCTACCGTCCCGAATCAGGGCGCAAGCAGATTTATCTTCTATGTCTCCTCGCCATCCATGAGTGATAATACGAGTAGGGTGAGTAGGATTCCAAGAACTTTTCTCCACACTGTCATTGTCATTAATGATCAGTGGTTCTCCGACTTTCCGATTGTTTCTATGGAGAAAGATCGATTTTCGCGTTGGAAGTTTGTAGAATCTTTGTTACATTTTTTCGTCAGCCTTTCAGACATATTTACCGAGTGTATAACAGAAATTGGATTTGGAAGGTGATATAGCTGATCTCCTTATATTCTGTTTGTGTAAGTACTGTAGGTTCGCTGATGTCGATCATGTATAACATCCCATGCTCATTGGCGAAGAGCGTGTAATTCGAATGTGATGCGAGGGATGCCAATAAAGTGGGATACACTGCAGACAAAAGTACACGAGTCTAAAATAATTTTTTAAGATGGAATTAAATATGTTAGAGATTTACGCAAAATCCAAAGATATTTTGTTCTTTTTTTTAGAGCTAGGTATAAGATAACTTTCTGTTATTAATGGCAACTGCACTGAAAAAAATTTTACTAAATTTTAATAAATATTTATTGAATAGTATTAAGATCTAGTTTCACCAATGTGAGAAACTTAATCTCCGTTGAATTTATCATTTATCTTTTTCTAATTCTTAAAATTAGAAAAAGATAAAGATTTGAACACAGACATTAAAGTTAATCTCACATTAATGGAACTGAGTTTAAATCTATTTACGAAATGTAAACGCGACGATGAAATTTGAGAATAATTATTTTTCACATACGAATTGCAATCGCCGGCGAAGTCATCTTCACGGTTGATAAGATCCGTTGAATTTTTCGTTATTATTTCACTGACAATTCTTTTATAGCTTGTTGATGGATATATTTATACTGGATGGATATATGTGTTCGATAAGATGATATCGATTATGGATTAGAAGGTATCAATTAGTACATGTGTTTCGAAAAGAGATTATTAATTAATCCGACTCTTTTATGATTATAATTGGATATTAATATATATTTACTGAAATGACAGCTTACGATTTATCAATAATCGTGATTGAAAGATTGAAAGATAATCTGAAATGTAACTTTAAATCATTTAAAGTGTTTTAATGCTCTGAATATTTCTTCAAAGGCTGTAAGGGAAGGTTGCCGATATCAACATATCACTTTGTTTTTAAACAATATTTCTTAAACAAAAGGTAAAAACTTTATAATACATAAATACAAATTAAAAAATGTCTTGTATCAGATAATATAAGCAATTTTTATAATACTATTTGCAATTTTGCGATAATTAATTTTTTCGTAAGATAAGCAAAATTGAGCGTCCGACAAAATGGGCTCCAAAATTGACACAGTGAATGTAATGCCACATATTCCTATTATTTTTCTTTTACAGAAATTATCTGTATAAAATCTTATATACAAGTGAATGTATATAAGATTTTCCAGAATCTTTTTACTTTGATATAAAACATTTTTGTTGAATTATATGCGTATTTACTTTATGTTATTCTGCAAGATGCAAATATGTAACGCGATAGTTTTTCGAGGCCTTTCTCATATATGTACCATTGTCTTCAGTTCCGATAGAGTTATTTGACATTATAAAGTAAAGATTAAATTAGCTCATGATTTGTTTTACAGACAGGTGTGTCGATTTACGCTGCACTTCGAGTTTATATTTAAAACTATATTATGAAAAAATTAAGAAAGAAAATAATTTAAATAAAACTGATTTAGGAAATTACAAGCATTTAAAACGACGTAGCGTTATTAATAATATAGTCACTATTATTTAAATTACGCAATTTGCAAAAGAAAATCGTAAGGATTTTATTTTTGCATTCATAGAATTCGTTTTTAACCAATTTCATATAGAAACTAGCCACAAATATATGAATTATGCATTTATACTTTTTTAATTAACTAAACAAAATCATGTTTTTATTAGTATTAATAAAGTGCAATAGTTAATTTCTGGAAATAAGGGGATGTCGCTTTAGGAGATTTATGTCAGGCGACTTTCTCTATTAATATCAAATATTGTTTTTTACACTTTCTTATAATTGAATTACATGTTTTTAAAAGAATTGAATTACATGTTTCATGTATTTTCTTTAGTGTATTAAACGATTTAGATAAAAATTCTATTTTCTCTGGGAATGGCCGATAAAGACATGATCTCGCTGTGTTTTTTCTCACGCTTTTCGCGCATTAATTTGTAAAGTTTTTCTTTCCGAGTCTCCCAAAACCGTAGTCGCATTTTAGTTTCTACGTTTTTCGCGGAAAGTAGTTTTGCACGCGGTTGAAACGAGCTTTAACTTTCGTCGCTGCTGGCCACTGCTGCAAGCAGCAGCAGGTCGATGCTAAACGAATCATAACTTGCCACTAGTCGGTCGGTTTAATCGAATTATCCATTACGGGTTCCATAATGTATCCTAGCGGCTGTGATTAAGTAACACACAAGCACATCTCGATCTCCTGCAAAAAGCAGCCTGCATTAATTGTAGATCTGTGCGAAATAAATGCGGATCATTCAACGTTAAAAGTGTACAACTCGACGGAACGAAATTTTCAGAAAAAGAATTTAAATTTGTGAGAGAAAAGTTTTCTCCCAGAGATAAACAATTTCTTTTTGCACGAGAAATTGAAAAATATTAATTTGCAACTATTGAAGATTGTTTCTGAATTGTATTTTTTAGAATAACAAAAAATTCAAATTTAATTCAGATAACCGGATAAAAATAATCTTTTAACGAGATAACCGGATAAATAATTTTTCAACACTTTTAAACGTGAACTTAAATATAAACACTTACCATATCGATTATTTTATCGATTAGAAAAATAATTTCTAACTGCTAAAGTGAGTACTATTGTGTATTTATGGGCGTGCAGTCATTGACGTTACTGCAAGACAAGGAAAATACTGTTTATTATATTTTCGGTGTTTATTGAGGATAATGCAAGGAGAAGATATTTCTGATTTTGAGATTTATCTGATTTATCTGAGTTTCTTACGAGAGGCTTTTGCTTTTCCAGTATGCCCAAGAGACACAACATGAGAAGATCTTACGTGGTCTGGCGGTCGGCATCGCCTTCACGATGTACGGCCGTCTCGAGGAGGCCGATCCCCTGGTGACGTCTTTGTGCGCCGATAAGGATCCGATTTTGCGTAGAAGCGGCATGTACACTCTGGCGATGGCCTACTGTGGCACCGGAAACAATCAGGCTATCCGCAAACTCCTGCACGTTGCCGTAAGTGTTTATCCGATATGACCATTCGATTAGATTATGTATTTTTATTGATTCAATTAGTATATTTTATTTTCTTATTTGATTCTTTTCTTTTTTTATTTGATTCTTGTTATTTCTAATCTATATATTCTAATTTTATCATGTTATCTGCTTTAATATTGTATATAGATTTTATTTTATTATTTTATTAATAGTTTTCTTGTGTATGGAGTAGTGCACTCAAATATTTTTGAGCGCGTTTTCTTTTTAGATCGCTTCTAGATAAAAATATCATGCATTATTATTCGTATTTAGATAAAAGATGAGAAACTTTTGAGAAACATTTTGAATTATTCATTCTTACTTTACATATACAGGGTGAAAAGTCAAATATTCCGATCCAACATTGAAAAAAGTTTGTACAAACATGGATCTAGCAAAGTTTAGTTTTTAATTGTTTTAATTGTTTGATACTGTTAAACAATAAAATTTCTCGTACCTCAAAAACTAAGCGTTTCTAGACATATCAACTTTTTTAAATGCTTAGTCAAGAGGAATACGTCTCTAGAATATTTGACACTAATTCATGCACACTTTGTGTATAAATTGGAATGAATTCTTTTGATTTTATCTACTATTATAATTTTGATTGAATCCGAAAGATAGATGGTTCTTTGTCGATTTCAAATCAAAGAGAAAACAGGTTGAATTTCTGACGGAGTATTGAATTCGCGACCTTTTTTTGTTGTAACAGGTCTCTGATGTTAACGATGACGTTCGACGAGCCGCGGTTACAGGTCTGGGCTTCCTGCTGTTCCGGTGAGTACCTTTGTAAAGTTACCCAATTCCACAAAGTAGATTTGATGCAAGAAGAATGTGAAAATTCCGCACGTTTGTGGACTTCGCGGCTTTCGATCTCTTTTAGAGCCGCGTAGACTGAAATCATATTTAGCGTGTATGCAGGCGTACTAATTCATCTAAAGTCCAAAAATAACAAAGTTTTAACCTTTTTGTTGTAATTTTGCATAAAAGAGGGAAGCAAAAATGCGCAAATTCACTTTTAAACAACATCGATCGAATATTAAATATGAACAAAATTCATTTATTAGATATTAATTTTTGTCGACGTATTCTGTGTCAACTCCTGCGGCAAAATAAATATTTGCGCTAATCCTCGTTTAGTGAAATCAATTGAATATTAAACAAAAAAGGAGTGCATGTCGAATATTCATAGGTATGTTTGACGCGTAAAAAATTAATTTTTAATTTTCTTTTTTATTAATATCTCTGATAAACACTGAAAAGAAATTAGTTGATTGGGATAATAATTTACCAAAACGTTAAAATAAATAGCAATTAAGCAATTTTAAACGCACTGTGGAAGTGACGGATTGTGCTGGAGTTAAAAATTTAGCTAAATATAAATCTCAAAATAACTTTGTTTGAATTATTAAAATAGTTACCTACATAGAATCTTCAAATTAATTGCTAGAATATCAAGACTGCAAGAATGCAACATTCCGTATACTTGAGATTCCTACGTAATTATTTCGATGGTCCAACAAAATTTTTTTTCAAAACTGTATCTAAGTAAATTTTTAAATATTTTGCAAAATCATTCTTTTCGTGCGTGTTCGTGCTACGTAAAACGTATTTGGAAGTTTTTGTCATCGATATTATAAGAGTACAATTATATTAATATATTTATTAATAGCCGATTGTTCTCGCGAGTTTATCGATTGCAGAGATATTTTGGAACATTTCGGCCGATAAGATTGCGACCAAAATGAGACAAACAAATCCGAGTAAATAAACGGAAATAATCCGCTTTTTCATTTAGAGAAATAGCGTGAGACATCGTTTGCACGTAACTTGGAAATTTCGTGATAATATATGGCGTGAATAATGTAAAACGCTGCACAAATTATTTTACCATCTAAAGCGCGTCCATGTTACCACCGGACATTCTTTTAATTACAGACACACAATTTGGGTACGGCTTTTCCATAGTATTCCTTTCTCAACCGTTTTAGTTTTTTACATTGTATATCTTTGTAACAAAGCTTTGAATTAAAATTCCGTTGAACTTTAGTTTCACTAAAATTTCTTTCAAGTTGGCTAGAGGATTTTGCTACTTAATTTTTTCCTTGAAGCAAGGATGTATTAAGTGTATAGTCTGCAAAAAGTGACTGAAATTGAACAAATATATTTTCCGTGTAAAAATGTATGTTATATTTACCAAAAATTCGTGAAAAATATTTCAATAAGGCCAATATTTAATATTTAACAATACAATTTTATAATTTAAATAAAAATTTTCTCATTTCATTTTAATTATTTTTTAAAAACACGTCTACTTTTTATTGAAATAATTTTTGATCCAGGTTCTAAATCACTGCCAAAGATTTTGTATTTTTTTCTAATTTTTTCTTTTTTAAAAAATACGTGTTATACATCGTTAATTTGCCTAGAAATTGTTTTATTGTTCACTTAATTTTTCTTTTTTTATTTTATTAGCACATTTTATTTAACAATTTATATTCTCGTTTCGTATTTTACTTGTAATCTGATTTTTAATTACGCGAGAGAGTAAATAGACGTTTTCGTCGAAGAAAAAATCGATTCTCGATTAGTATAAGATTCGCGAAAAAAATATTCGGTGGTTTTCGGATGTTCGTATATATTCCTCTTGACTGCCAATTTTCAATTATTTTTCAAGGACGATTTTTTAGATTTGAATTTATTTAAGGACACGTGTAGCTTAACAATAGGCGAAAATGACATTGGTAAACGAACAAGTTTAAACTGTTGTCCGCAGTCGACAGCAGTCGGCTGATTTGTAATTGTTAACATAAGACAATAAACAAAATATCGCAATACGTGCGTAAATTTGCCTTTCGCTTAACCATTTTTAACCAATGCAACCACGTGCAATTGTTTAAACTTGTTTATTCTTTGATTTGAAACGAAATTGGGCTCCAAATTTCGTTAGAACTTTCTGTTTCGCGTTTCTTTCACGAGAAAATATTTTCTCTTCGAAATGTCAAAATCTGAAGATATTCAAGGAATTGAAAATACGTTTTAAGAAACGAGACGGATTTATATACAGGTTTCAACGTTAAATAAGTTCCTCCTTGAACGACAAACGTTTCGTTATCAGTCCGCGAATGCGAAGTCTTCTAGATTTTACATGTCAAAGGATGTAAGCCGTCTCGTGTTTTCGTCGATGTGAAGTCAGGAAATGAACCAAGGAATCCGTGGATAAAGGAACGCGGGGATCTATAGAACATTATACAGGTAATACCGTGTATAGATCACGCTTGTCAGTTTGTGTACTTTGTAAGCTCTCCATATTAATTTCGGATGAAATGTGTTTTTATTATTCTTCTCTCGCGTTTTCTGCTTCGTTTCTCTTTCATGTTTCCCATTTCTCTTCTTCTGAGCCTGATCATCGTCATTTACCCCTTTTCACTAGCCACGGTGAATAGAGACTGACCTATTGAATAAGTTATACACCGCAAACTGTACCACGTTCCATTTCTCCACATACAGATTGCAATTTCAGGGAAGCTGGGTTCTTGTAAATGAGTTCAAACTTGAATCTGAGAATGCAACTCTTTCTTTAATTAAGACTATATATCACAATATTTTTGTTTTTTAAATGCAAAGGAAAAAATGTGTAATATTATTAAACATTTCTTTTTCTAGTTACTATTGATATTATAAATATAGATTATGTATGATTTTAAGGAGAAAATCCTGTTGTTGATAAATTATAGTGATTCTGGTGATATGAAATACTTGCAAATTGGTCTAAATATTATTTTTCTTTATTTTTAATGTTCTAATTTGATTTAATCTAACAATTTATGTAATTAGATTTAATCTTTCATTTTATACTTATTCCATTTAAATATATACAATATATATTAATTTGTAATATTTCTTAATCAAATAAATTATTCTTTCTTATGTTTAACGGTTAAGTTAAGAAGAATTAAAGAATTTGTGTGGTATTAGATTTGAATAATTTTTCTTGAAGGCATTTTATATAGTTTTTTAATTTAAACTTATTCCATTTAAATATATTAATCTTTCTAGTTTTTAATTTAATTTAAATTTCTCAGAAAGATAAATTCTAATTTTTTAACACTTTTATGCTCGACTGTATAAATAAGTTTTTCCAATTTTAAAGTTAATTTAAACTCCAGATTAATATTCCCAGCTTTCATTGGAGACTAAAAAGATTTAATGGTTTTTTTGCGGTCTATTTTTACTTGAAATCGACTAGGAATAATCCTTTCTTACCTTGTATCCCGAGGCGCCGCGCCGTCTCGCATTACAAGGCTTGCAGTTTTATGAGACGAGGGAGGAAATATCTCTGTCCCACGGGGATGCGTTATTGCGTCGGCGGTAGTCAATGAAAGCCAAAGAAGTTTATTCGTGCTCGATAAGACATGAAACATAATCGAGTGGCCCAATGAGAGAGTGAGCTAACCCGCAGAAAGTCGTTTTTGTGAGAAAATAGATTTTTATTAGAAAGTTGATATACTGAAAATTATAGAAGAAGAGTACAAAGATATTAATTCTTCAAGTCATTTTTCTCGGAAATAAAGCGAAGGGAAGAAATTTTATTTCACAACTTTATTTATGTTTCTGTAAAGGATCCTCATTTTAGTTAGTTTTCGAACTACTTTAGTTTAACACACACACACTTACATATATAAGAGCATTATCCCATTATTACGTAATTTATAGAACAAATTAAAGTTGACACAAGCTACTAGAAAGACAATTTAAATTGGTTTTTTTTATAATGTTTTTTTTTATTTTATGTTTATTTTTTATATATCACATTCTCATATTGGACCATTCAAGATTGTCAAGAAGAAAAGAATCTACCATTCTCGTTTGCGCGATGTAAAAAATGTGCATTATTTTCTTCTCTGCGTGTATATGTCGTTTTTGCTTTTCCTGTCTTGCCGTAGTGAGTATTCCGGGCTCTTCCGGACTGAGAAAGAGATAGGTATATAGAATTGTATTTCTATTCAACTAAGATATATCTGAACAAATTTCCAGTCGCTTTGCTTTTACCTTCGTGAACTTTTTCAAAAAATGTGGCATATTTTAATTTTTAATATTAAAAGAAATTTTACAAAATATTTATCATGAACTTCAGCTCCTAAATCTTATTAGAAGTATCAACATTTTTTACCTATTGCTAAGAAAATAAAGAAAATAATGAAATAAAGTATTTCATAAATATAAAGGATATAACTATTGAAAAGTAAAAAAATTTTTGTGTGAAATCTTATTCTTTATATAAGAGAAATATAATATCAATTTGAAAAATAGAAGCGGGATTAATAATGATTGTTCGATATTTTCATTTTAAATGAAAAAATTAAAAGGTGAACAATATAATGTTTTTTTATTTAAAAAAATGAGAAATTTTATTTTGCTCAATTGAGAAAATAAAATAAATCGTAAAAACGTGGTTATAAATTTAACAAGTATAAAAAGAAGAGCATAAGGAATCACAGCACAAGTTATAGTTTGTGATATTTAATTATTATTACATCAAAACATTAAAATATTAAACTTAAGAAATAATTAATATTTTTAAGAATATTATTAATTTACTGAAGATGGCCAGATTGTGGCCGAAATGTTTAATATTTTAATGTTTTGATGTAATAATAATTAAATATCACAAACTATAACTTGTGCTGTGATTCCTTATGCTCTTCTTTTTATACTTGAGAAAATAAAGTTTCATTTTATTATATATAAAAAAAAAAAGATCTAACTTTATAGAA